AATAATTTTTAAGATTTATAAAAATTTTTTAAAAATACGCTTCAACTCACAATTGATACTAAGCAATAAAAATTTTTAAGCTTTACTCTTTCTACCTATAAGAAAGAAATACAGTAAAACAATATTATTTAAACAATAAATTTTAAAGATTTTATATTTTTAATATATCAAAAGTTTAAACTAATTATGTGCAATATTCTAAAATTATTGTATTGTAAAAAAAAAAAATTTATTAAATATCATACTTTATAAACAAATTACAACTTTTTAAACTTATTATTTTTACTGTATTAATGGTGTATTTAGTACTAAATACGAATTATTCCGTGCAAAATTTAAAAATTTTTATAGACGATAAACACGAATTAAGAAATGAGCTTATACCTTCTGGGCAACACTGGAGCAGAACGCCTCTGTAGTTCAAAAAGATATTATCATATATATGCAGAACACAGGCCTAAATTAAGATCAAGTATTTTAGGGATATAATAAATATTTTTAAAGATTATTTTTTACTTGGGATTAAAATTTTTATAGTTTTTTTACTTTTTGCCGACAAGTATAATAGCAAGCGTGACACAGGAAATATACACATATAAATTGTTGCTTTATAATTAATATCAATCTCAAATATATTTCAATTTTCAAAAATAAGTTCATTTAAACATTTATAAACGAATGGTGTTACTTTTTTAAAATTATCTGGGTTTTTGTTTAAAATTTATATTACTCAACATTAAAATAAAAAACTCAACTTTATTTTTATTAAATTATAATGTCTAGTTAAATATTCGGTTAAGCTATTTTTTTGTATTTTTTAACACTATAAAATTTTCTTAAGAAAGTTTTTTTTTGATTATATCTTTTCATTTTCTTTTAATAAACATTCAAACTTTCGAAATTTATTTTTTAAAGTTTAATGTAATTTGCAATTGTCGGCGTACATTAGGGCTTTCTAAAAAAATCTTTAAAATTTAGTAAAAACATATTTTTAGGATTTAATTACAAAATCATTGATCTTTACTAGAAAGCTTCATATAATTTTTTTTAAACATATTCCAAAAAATTTGAAAATTTCTTAA